GAGTATGTAGCACACAGAGTGCAGGGCTGAAGAGTATGTAGCACACAGAGTGCAGGGCTGAAGAGTATGTAGCACACAGAGTGCAGGGCTGAAGAGTATGTAGCACACAGAGTGCAGGGGTCAAAAGTGCATATCACGGAGAGTACTGGGGTTAGGAGTGGGTATCACACAGAGTGTAGGTTTCGGGAGTATGTAACGCACAGAATGCAGAATTCAGGAGTATGTATTAGGAGTATAAGGCTCAAGAGTATGTAACGCACAGGGGTCAGGAGTGTGTAGGAGACAGAGGGCAGTGGTCGGGAGTGGGTATCTCACAGAGGGTAGGGGTCAGGAGTCGGTATCTCACAGAGTGCAGGGGTCAGGAGTGTGTAACAGACAGAGGGCAGTGGTCGGGAGTGGGTATCTCACAGAGGGTAGGGGTCAGGAGTCGGTATCTCACAGAGTGCAGGGGTCAGGAGTGAACATCATAAGGAAGGGTCAGGAATGGGTATCGCATTTAGATATATCACAGTACAACTAAGAATTACCCACTCCTCAATATATACCCCTCCCAGCAGATTTAAAGCTGATCTCCAGGAAAAATAAAAACTCCCCATGCAGTGGGGCTACTGCATGGGGCAAGAAGCTTTTTTTGGCAGAAGAGACTTACAAAGTCCTTCCTGCCTTAGAAAGCCTGCTGGTCAGCTTTTTTTTTTTTAGTTTACTTCCACTTTAAAAAGAGATTGCTAAGGACTTTTGCAATTACATTGACAAGTTAAAGATGATATGAGATTTTATTGATTGGGTTCACATCTACTTTTATCAACTGTCACCCATTCTCGCCGGTTTAAAGCACTAGGCTCACCCCAGCAGGACAAATGCTGATAACGTCAGTCACTCCACTTTACCTTCTCTCTCAATGCAGCAACCAGAGCAGACACCACCTACCAGCGTAAACACTACCGCCTAATTTAGGTTGTTGGTACATTAAAAGTCCTATGATAATGGTAAATTAGAAATGAAACTTCATAGAACATCATGAACAATTACATTGTGCACTAGGGAGATAGGATCTCTAGTTTAATATGAAATATTCTTCAACTATTGTGAAGTCTTGTTGTACTTGGCTCCAGGAAAAAGAGGTCACATTATCCCAGGAATTTACCCTCTGCCCTCAGAGAGGTCACCCGAGGCAGCACACATCCCATGGAGGTATATTAATGTATGGATGAATATGAGTAATCGATGCCCACCAACATCTGGGGCAAGTTAGGAGTTTTCCCGGCTTACATGCAAGACGGAAATTCCACTGAAAGGAATACGGAAAAGAGGGTGGGGAGAACAGCAGGACAAAATTATCTACAAGGGTTATATAGCTAGAAAGATAGATCAATATGTAGACAGGGAGAAAGAGAATCAGAGAGGGAGAAAGAAAGACAGAGAGAGAAGAAGAGAAAGAAAGAGAGAGTCTAAAGGCCCCCAACCTGTATCTCTCAATATGAGCCCCTGGAAAAGCCATTAAAGTCACACTTGCACCAGCTATACTGATCTACTGCTAGCATGTGAGAGATAACATTAGAGTTAGTAAGGTGCTTGAGCTGCCTGCCCACCAATATGCAGAGATAACACAAACTAAAGCAGGGAGTCACTTTTAGGTGTTAGCAGTAGTATTGAAAATAGTTGTATGCTTCAGGATAATTATGCTTTAGCATTTAATTACCAAGACAGGGGCTTGGATGTATCTGTAGACACAGCAGAAATCCCATTGAAGGCTGATTTGCCTGCTGGTCATGCAGCAGTTAATGACACAAGCTGATGTGGAATCTGAAACAGTTCTGAAATGAAGCATTCTACACAAACTTCCTAAATGCCCCGGGGTGAGTGATAAAAAAAAAAGGCAACCCCCCTGCCCATATCCCATCTCCATGAACTGTACTGACCTCCACACTGATCCTTTCTCTCGCAGTACCCATGTCTCTGTGCTGATGTGGGTGAGTGCTGCTGCTGTTGTTGTGGATGGGCGCAGAGGGGAGGGTGGGGGCCATGTCTGCACACACATGTTCCATTCATCCAGATGAAGTGGGATTCGGTCCATGGAGTGGGGAGTGAAGGCAAGGCACAGATTCCTCATTGTGCGCCTGTGGAAAAGCTCAGATATTTAACACTACAAGTGCAAGAATAAAATAAGTGAACATTAATAATTGGCAGTACTGTAAAAAAATTGATAAAATAAATTGTTCAGAAGGAAGCTGAGGAAAGTGGGGAGCACCTGGAATGGTCATGGTAGAGAATGGGAGCTATTCCAATATATCAGGGCATATGCTCAAGCAGTGGATTCAGTGTTTCAATTTAGCAAAAGCATCAGTACTAGTAAAGTAGGACCAGCAGGCCCACATTGTTCTGAAGCAATCCAGAGCATCCTGTTTGGTGGCAAGCAGTTCTTCTATCTCGTGTACATGCTCCACTTGTACCAGCCATTCCCGCACAGTGGGTGTGTGTTCTTGTCGCCAGTAGCAGGGAATGATTGTACGTGCTGCATTAATGAGATGTCTTTGTAGAGATTTGAAGGCGCTGTGGCAGTGCGTGGCTATGCCACTGTGCAATCTCACTGTCTGAATTCATAGTTTGATAGTGTCCAGTGCCTGCTAATGGCACTGGACACTATCTAAGTGTGCAGCCTTTAAAATAAAGGTGTTGGGAACAGTACAGGGCTCCACCTGGGAGACAGGAAAACTGCACCCAGGAGTCAGAGTGCAGTCCAGTGCAGCAGGGAGTTGCGGGTTGCAAAAACAAGTGTGCGGGACAGCACAAGACTGAGACTGGAGGACCAGACAGTGGCCTGAGGTCTGAGGCCGGAGCAGCGGTGCTGCAAATGCAAAGCCAGGAGGCTGGATATGCATGTGGTGCAAGGGATGCTAAAGAACCCCTGCGAGGGTAATTGCATTATTTTTGTGAACTGTCATTTAATAAAAAAGGGCTCAGTTAACGCTCCAGCAAAGGTTCAGTTTAACGCTCCAGCATCTCCCAAGCCCTGACATACAATATCAGTGAGCGAGGACTGGGCCTTTAACTGTAAGGAATCCTTTTGAGCCATCGGTCGGCATTACAGGAAATGCAGAGAGACTATGTGAGGATTTGGGCAACTGTTTTGCAGCACTTTGAAGCTCCTATAGCTGGCCTGTGTTAAATATGAGATGTGCTCTGCAAATGCTAATTATAGAATGGCATATCTCAGCAAGAATTTAACGCCTGCGTGAGATGGGCCCGGAGCATCGTGCAACCAGCAGAAGGCCGATGGATCAAATTGAGGCTATGCCCCACCTTGAAGTCTTATATAACCATAACATCATTGACCCAATATACAGGGTGAGCTCCACTGAGAACGTTGGTCTTATTTGTAGCAGCTGTGCTCAGGGCCCATGCGTTGTGTTAAGGCACCCTATTCATTTAAATGAGCTGCCTAACATAGCAAAAAGGGGGTATATAGCATCTGTGGCAATGCACCACACACCACTGCATTGCCACATGTTGTACTTCACTGCAATGCACATCAGTTGGCAAGGTGCACTGGGGTCCCATACAGAATAACTGGCACTGCAGTGTACAAACGCATGTAACGGCATTGCGGTATAGCTCGTGTTACCACTTTGTGATTGTGTTGAGGGCACTGAAAGCAAATCTAACTCAATCACTAAAACCTTATAAAAATGTTAACAATTGTTTTCAATTTCTCTGCTGTTCCTGCCATGAAGGTCCTATTGTAGGATGACAACTGCCTCCCAATTGTGCTTCTGCTTTGACACCCTGTCATATGCACTCCTGCATGAAACCAAGTGGCTTTGGTGACACACATTGCCCAAGAATGTGACATTGAAGCGAGACGGCAAGTGCTGAAAGAAACTGGAGGAGATCAGCAGCAGGGAGATGAGAGAAAGAATATAAAAATGGTGAAAACAATATTTTGTGGGAATAAAAACATAGTAATTGTTTACGATACACAGTGCTTTACCAAACTAAATGACGTTTAGTTAGTGTTTAAATCTACTTTAAGCTACAACTTTAGTTTCTAATGGCAGCGCTTTCTAGACCTCTAGGCATACCCTAATGACAGACATCTCAACTCTCCCGGACGTTCTGGGAGTCTCCTGCTATAAGATAGCGGCTCCCGGACAACCGGGAGTAAACCTTTACAGAGTAAACCTTTCCCTGCTATCTGGTTCGGGTTTTTTGACATGGGGGCTGCCGACCTGTCAGTCAGAGAAAAAAAAAAACAGCATAGGAATGAATAGCTAGGCTTCTATTGGCTATTTCAATTTTCAATAGCAGACTAGCTATTGCACCCGCCCACTGCTGCTGTCAATCAGCAGAGGTGGACCTGAAGTTATCCATCAGGTTCTCCTCTACTGATTGACAGCAGCAGAGGGCGGGTGCAATAGCCAGCTTGCTATTGGCTATTGCAAATTGCAATCGCCAATAGAAGCTTAGCTACTCATTCCTATGCTCTTGTTGTTGTTTTTTTTGTAAATTCTGACAGCAGCAGGTAGCAAGGGAAGCATTAGCTTTAGGGCACCTACGGGATTTACATGATTGTGTCATCTCTGAGATGGAATCTCACTCCAGGAAGTAGATGGTGACCATGTATGATGCCTGAACAAAAATGGGTCCGTGTTTCTGTTGAGAAAAGCAGATGAAGGCATTTTCAGGGGAGTACTGTGACCTCTAATAAATACCTGGAAGTTTTTTTTAAATAAAGAATGCAGATCAGACAAATATGCTTTGCCCTTATATTTGCCCGAGCACTTACAGTCTTCATGTTTCGGAACAGCCCGAAACTCTTTGAGCTCAGCTTCCCTGAACTTTCTGTCTAGTATAAGATCACAAGGGATAGAGCAGTCTCCAATAGCTGTCTATCTACTAGCTTGGGGAAGAGAGGAAGAAGGAGTGGGGAGTAGGGGAATGGCTTGCTTTGCTGTGTCGGTGTATTTTTAGAGACACACAACTTACTGGCACACACTAGGGTGGCTTCATAGGAGCCTGCATGGGAAACAATTCACTCTAAGACAGGATATCAGGAAGAGCTGATTCTGCAGGAAACTAAAACATTTAAACATCCAATGTAAGTGATTTAATCATCAATTAGCTTAAGAACCTTCCGACTTTAATATCACCATCTGCCTGCCACCATAGACATGTCATTGTTGATTCAGCCACAAAATGGCCATATAAAATGTAAAACGCTTTCTTGGCTGCTGATCTTCTCTATCGGGGGTAGAGTGTTGGATTGTACAGGACTTGGTGCTGTCTTAGACTAAGTGTTTTTCACCAGGACACATGACGCAAGTGGGGCATTTGACACACTGATGGAATGTTTGGAGATGCCACTTAGCGAGTAACACCCTCGCTTTAATTGTACCGACCCGGTGTCACCGGACACATATTCCATAATGTGACCTAAAGTGGAATTGCGATTAAAACACAAATAAGGTACTTCTTGTAAAGGGAGATATTTTAGGAAATGACAGATATATAACAGCCGAGTTCCCCCAAGAATATAAATATCCTATACAAGGGAAGTTAACTTGTTTTCTCCGGTTGAATTAAAGTCAATGTGAACTCTTACAGGAGACATTTAATCTGTTCTGTGCACTGTGCATCATTAACAGTTGTAATTTCTTTAAAGCCATCTCCAGGTAAAAAATACCCTGGCAGTGAGGCTGCCCCTGCACTGTAAGGGTTAAAGTAGAAGACAAAACTTTTTTTTTCTTAGTTTTGGATAGAGTAAAGGAGGGTCATAACCAGTGGCGTCACAAGGGGGTAACAGTAATCCACATGACAATGAAGGGGCGTCCCGAGGCCGGGTGTCACCCGCAGCGGAGACCGGGTGACACCCCGCGGTCATCATGCATGAGCATGACGTCACCACACGCGTGCATGGTGAAGTCATCGCGCGAATGCGCAACCACCTACTTGACGCCTGCCAGCGGCCATCTTGGTGATGGATGCCGGCAGAGAGAGGAGGGGACGTTCACCTGGAGGGATGAGGTATGTAGCTGGGTCCACTCCTCTCTCCTGACACTGTCGGGCTCTCGGTCCATGACCGAGTGCCCGACTTTTTAGAGGGGGTGACACCAAAATGACTGTCAGTCATTTTGGTGTCACCCCTCCTATGGTGTCACCTGGGTGCGGGACGTACCCCCCTTGTGACACCCCTATGACAATGCCTTCCTCCGCTTTTTTTTTCTCCAGAAGGATAGAGTCATCTTTGTTCAGACATCATCCAGTGTCACCATCTACTTCCTGGACTGAGATGTCAATGCAGAGATGGTACAAATGCATAAATACCGGTTCCTGTGCAGTTCTTCGCTGTGTTCAAAAATGCCTGAGGGCTTGTTCACACCAAATCCGGATCAGATCTGCATGAGTTTCTGCACATGCTGTGCAGTGTGTTTTTCCACGTTTTTGCTGCATTTGTGCCACGTTCCGGGACGTTTTTAGAAGGAAAATGTGTTTTTGATGTGTTTGCATGCATTTTGGTGCGCTCCAGAGCAGAAAAAAATAGGACATGCTGCAGTTTTTCCACATGCTCTGGAATTGAACGCTGTGGTGTGAACGAGAGCCCAAAATACCATTTGAATACATTGGATGCAGTTTTGATGCATTCTGTAACTGCTCTGCATCATGCTCTGCACTTGGTGTGAACTGGCCCTGACGCTGATCAGCCCCTGCTGCAGCTTCTCACCTTGTGACTTGCTACAAAGTTACAATGTTGATGTCTGATCGCTGGGGGAGAGGAGACTGAGGAAATGCTTCCTCCTGCCTGGAGCACACTGATGACATCATCTAGGCAAAGTCACTGGACTGGAATACAAGGATGGCTTTTCAGTGATGAACGATGAAGCTTTTCTGAAAACGAGTATGCATATTGTGACTCATCAGGAATTTAGCCAAGCAGACTTGTAAAATTACTTATAGGTTCACTTTAGGTGAAAACCGGATAAAGGAAGTATGTAGGCTGCCATTGCTGAACTCTCCTTCTGAAAATACCAGCTTCCCACCTGCCATTCTGGCCTTGTGGCTTC